TTTAATCCATTCTCCACAAAGCCATCCAAGCAATGTCTTCAGAAGTTAATTGCAATCATGTCATTCCGGGCCTGAAAACTTTTCAGTGGTTCTCCACTGTTTATAATTTAAATTCACATTTCTAAATGTGGTTTCTAAAACCCTTCATGATTCTGCCCTCTGTCTACTTTTAGAGCAATGCCTCCTGCCCTTCACCCTGGCCGTCTGATCCTCTTGCCTTTCTCTGAGTACACCGTACTTGCTTTCATTCACCCATTCAACTGTTTATCAAGTGCTTCCTCAGGGCCAGGCACTAGTTAATGCATGGGATTTCCAGCAAGAGATGACCAAGTCTCTGCCCTAACAGAGGTTACATTCTGGACTTTTTCATACTCTGTTCCTTTGCACTATCCAGTTTTCTTTCTGGGATGCCAATTTCCCACCCCTCATCTGCCTGGCAAATCCTACTCTACTTCAGGACTCAGCCTATTCAGTAGATATCTTGCAAGGTTACCTAGACCTCTCATTCACATCTACCAGTTGGATATTCCTGCCTCAGGAAATGAACTTGAGGAGGGCATGGGCTTTCCTTGGGCACAGCTGCATGCTTAGTGCCTAGAACTGTGCCTGGCATATAGTGAGCTTTTAATGAATATTTATCAAATAAATCATACCTACCCAAATCCCTGCCCAGTTCCATGCTTCTGTTCTGAGACCACAAGCTGTGAGTTCCTAATGGTCAGAAACGTATCTAATTCACCTGTTTACCTCCGCTGCTTACTACAGTACCTGCCATGCTGTTAGCAACCAATAATGGCGGATCTAGGCCTTCCAGATTTACATGAGAAAACAAAACAACAAGAACAAAAAAACCCAATGCCCTGGGGAAGATGTTGTGATGAACGTGCTATCTAATCCCTGGGGTGGAAAGGGGAGTGGGGTATAAATGTTACATCCAGAACTCTAGAAATAAGGCATGCTGTTTGTGTTGCAAAGTGGCAAAGAGACACATATAAATATGACTGATTTTAAAATGTTGGTGTACTTATGTATTTAACGAGAGGTTCCAGGAAAATGCTGTGGTAGCAGGGTAGGAGGGTACTTGGGAAGGTTTCCTGGAAGAAAAGCCAGCCCTTGAAGGGCTTCCTTAGGTTAGCATTGCCAGATAAAACATGGGGCTGCCAGTTAAATTTGAATTTCAGTTACAAGAACAAGAACTTTGTTTAAGTATGCCCTGTGTGATATTTGGAATACACTTCCACTGAAAATGCCTTCATTGTTTATCTAAAAATCAAATTTAACTGGGCTTCCTGTATTTTTATTTACTAAATTTGGCAACTCCTCCTCCGGGATATGGAATAGCAGCTTGAGAACAAGAAGGGCAGGGACAGGAAAGCACAGAGAGAACGGCTAGTTGTCCAACACAGTTGTAGCCTCATAGGTTTGGGGGACAGAGAATAGAGGAAGTTATGAGAGATACTGCTGGGGAAGTAACTGGGCCAGATCACAGAGCCTTTAGAATGACCTTGATTTGTCAAAGAAAAAAAATATGATGTCATCCTGGGAACTTACGTTCAGCAATGAAACAGAGACTATATCCTTTATGAAAGTCAGAGTGTACACATAAATTTTTATGCACATAACTCATGCCTCCTTGGGGACTTACTGTTAACACTGATTATATGAATTCTAAATACATCAGGAACCATACAGAGCTTGCTTTTAAATGGAAAGAGATATGTTTTCAGGAAGTTAAATGTTTACATGTAAACAAGAACAGCTATTGGCAATACTGAACATTAAATGCTTTTCTAAATAAATTTCTAATGTAGATAGTGATTTATAGAAATTAAATTAGGATGAAACAAGCAGGGAAAGAATCAATAAGTTACGGTCTTGTTTATCCACTAAGTGTTGGTTTAAGTAAGATTTTTAAATCATGTATTTAGAAAATGAGCACATAGAATATTGGTCCTCTGAATCACATAAAATTAATGATTAAAAAATTAACACATATTTATTATTTAGTAGGTACCCTACCAGTACAGAACCTCTTACTTGAAAACAAATCATTCAGATTAACAATTGATAAAGACAGATTAGTGATTTGTTTTTTCTACTGTATAAATATCAATATTTGCATTTTTCAATGCTCTGAAAAAGAATTCATATGCCATATTTAGAAATCATTTAAAAAAAATCTAAGCATTGAGAAATATTTTCTGTGATTTCTTTAAAAAAAAGACATAAAAAGCCATTTTTGGGCAATTAGGGAAATTTGAATATGGACTGGACATTATTAGATGGTAATAAGGAATTATTTTATTATTGTAGGGTATATAATAACTGTGGTTAAGTTAAAAATAAAATCCTTTTTTCTGTTAGAGGCACATATTCAAGTATTATGGGTGCAATGACACAATGTCAGGGATTTGCCCTTAAAATACTCCACCTTAAAAAAAAGTGGGGAGTTGATGAAACGAAGCTCCCCAAATGTTTGATGATTGTTAAAGTGGGGTGATGGGTCTCGGCAGGGGGGGAGGGGCGGGGAGTGGTGGTGCTCAGTATATGATTCTGTTTCAATGTATGTTTGAAAATTTCCATAATAAAAGGTAAAAACCCAAACAGATCTTTTTTATGAGTAAATAATTTCCTTGAAAGTATATCATATGATAATTTATATCCTTCCAATTCACATTTAAAATATATATTTTTATATATTATATATATTCTCTTGCTGTGACTGGTTAATAAAGCAGTTGAACATATGTATCTTATTAATGATCACTCACATTTATTGAGTACATTCCATGGGCCAGGCACTGTGCTTAGTGATTACCACGGAATATTCATTTAACGTTTGCAACAATCTTTTGATCTAGGCTTGATTATTACCCCCATTTTACAGATGGAGAAACTGAGGCTTAAAGAGATGACACAATTCTCACCTGTGTCTGTGATGGGATCTGGAGTCAGGTTGCCAGCCCTAAAGCCTGTCTGTTTAACCATTACTATACCACCAGCTAGACTAGAAGGAGTATAAACATACTCACAATACATATTATAACGAAAAGAATGTGGGAGATTGCTCACATGTTTCTTCCTTGCTACAATCACGTGGCTTAGGGCCAGCCGTGATCAGCTCCTTTCCTGCATGGGTTGGCTCATAGATCAAGCTGTTGTTTGAAGTAGAAAAGGGGAAAGATGCTGCTGTCAGACAAAGGAGGGGAAGCAAAGAGAACCGACAGAGGTCTCTTCTCATTGACAACAGCCGTTCTGCAACTGCTTTTTTTTTTTGAACGCAAAATAACTAAAATGCACAATTTGCCTTTCTTGTGCCTTCTGACGCCTGATTCTATTTTGCAGGACTTCGCCTCGGTTTTCAGTCATTCATCACGCAGTGCCTCCTGTTCGGCGCAGGCAGCAGGGGCTGGGCTGAGGGGGTAGCAGGGAGCGAGAGGCGAGCTGGGAGGACGCACAGCCCACAAGTGAGGAACTGACGCAGCTGCAGCCCTGAGAGACCCCGCCCCATGAGCTCATCCCCTGGCAGTGCAAATTAGGATGACATAATGTTTCTGGAGAGCTCCTTCCAGCCCACTGCAGCGGGAGCGCTCTTGCTTTTCCCGAGCACATGAAAAATTAGCATCGGTATTTCTAGCTGTTCCTGAGGAAATGGCATTTTATTCAAAGGTGTCGTGGGAAATATAACACATCTCCTGCATTAGTATCAGCTCCTGCATCAAAGGAAAACAGAGCTTATCAGTAAATAAGTCGTTAATTACTGCACTTATCAGACTACTGAAGGTAACCAGCATTCTTCAAAAACAGGGTCCAATTGCAATGGCGAGAGATAGTGTCTGTGTTTCTTCAAAAAGTTTTTAGCCCGAGTATAAAAAAAATAACTATGGCAATAATATTAAATAATAGTAATGATCATTATCGCTTATGTAGCTTTTGCTGTACGCTAGGAACTATGCTAAGTGTTTTACATATATTATCTAATTTAATTCCTATTACCACCCTACAGAGTAGGCATAACCCTCCATCCCCACCACACACACACACACACACACTTACAGAGGAGGAAGCAGAGGCATGGAGAGATGGGTAATTTGCCAAGGTCAGACAGCAGCGACTGGCAAAGCCAACCGGACTCTGGTCCAAAGCCCTGCACTGCTAATCACTATGCTACATTCCCTACAGGGCCACAGTACAGCTCTGCTGGATGCAAGGCAATGTTTAATAACAACTTAGTAAAATATAGAAAAAAGTATGGTTTCTACCAAGAAACTACAGGTGACTAAAGCTGGGATATCTTCCATGCCTGGCATTTTTCACTTCAGTGGACATGAGACACTCACACCATTAGACACCCAACTTGTAAAGGGAAAAGGCAGGGAGAGTAATATTTATTAAGAACCTAAAAATTACAGGGGCGCCTGGGTGGCTCAGTTGGTTAAGCAACTGCCTTCGGCTCAGGTCATGATCCCAGGGTCCTGGGATCGAGTCCCACATCGGGCTCCTGGCTTAGCAGGAAGCCTGCTTCTCCCTCTCCCACTCCCCCTGCTTGTGTTCCTGCTCTCGCTGTCTCTGTCTCTGTCAAATAAATAAATAAAATCTTTAAAAAAAAAAAAAAGAACCTAAAAATTACATATTGCTCTCTGCCCCTGGCTCCTAGCACAGAGCTCCTAAAACTGTAATTTCTTAAGTCCTAAGAGCATTAGGAGCATCTTTTGTTCTCACTGGTCCTTGACCCTGGTTCGTGACACAGAGCTCCTAAATCCCTTGGAATTTCCTGGATGATAGGAATGTTTTTTGTTCTAATGAGGTGACTATCGATGGGCTCCTGGATGGGGGCTGGTCACCAGAAAGACTAAGCAATGATAAGAAGCTTGGAATTTTTAGTCCCCTTCACCCCCAGTCTTCAGAGAGGGGTGAGGGGCTGGAAATGGGAGTTAACAATTGATCATTCCTATGTGATGAAACCTCCATAAAAATCCCCGAAGTATGAGGTTCAGAGAGTTTCCAGGTTCGTGAACACATGGCCATGCTGGGAGAATGGTGCCTCCTGAAAGATCGTGGAATCTCCTCACCCCTTCCCACATGCCTTGCGCTACCTGTCTCTTCTATCGGTGTCCTTTAAGGGATCTTTATACAATAACCTGCTAAATAGTAAGTAAACTGTTATCCCAAGTTCTGTGAACTGCTTTAGCAAGTTAATCAAACCTGAGGAGAGGGTTGTGGGAACCTCCAATTTACAGCTGATTGGTCAGAAGTATAGGCAACAACCCAGACTTATGATTGGTATCTGAAGTGTGTGTGTGGGGGTGCAGTACTGTGGAGCTTTGAATGCTGACGGAGGAGAAGAGATGGTGGGATGAAAACTACTAAAAGGAAAGGAATGTAGCTTAGTGGTTGTGGGAAAGGAGCTCTAGGTCTTCAGGGTTTAAATTTGGGTACAAACTCTACTACAAATGTTAGGTGGCCTTGTACAATAGCTGCAAAGGCTTTGAGTCTCAATTTCCCCATCTATAAAATGAGGTGATAATAAACTTACCATAGAGTCATTGTAAGGATCAGATAAGCTAATGTACAGTTCTGAACCCAGTGCCTGGTATGCATGAAGGGTAGGGCATGATGACTAAGAATAGGAAACTAGAATCCCCCCCGCCCCCCATAATACCTGAAACCTGGTGTCTTCCTGGGTCACCCTCACTAGATTAAATAGGAGCCTATCACTTTTCTGTGAATTTGGGGCAGGGAGGACTTTCTACCAAAACCCTTTTCATTCACAGTCCACCCCCTCTCAAGCATTTTCGTTCCAACACTGGTTGCAGACTGGGGAAGTGCCATCTGGGTGGCAGGTAACTGAGCGCTCCAGTTCAGCTGTAGCACTGATCGTTGATGGGAAATGCAATCATGGCTCTGGGGGATTCCAATTGGAGAGAGAATCTATTCTCTACGTGTGAGATTTCATTAAATCTAGGATGATAAGATATAATGAAATCTTATCCATGGAGAATAGATTTTGATTACTACTGGAGCACCCTCCCCCAACCTGGATCAAATTTCTGATCAGTCTTATTGCGGAGAATCACCTGGATGGTGACTTCTTATCTGTGTCTAAGACATCTGTCCATAAAATTACATGCCCAGTTCTAACCCCTGTTAAACAAATTATGTAGTTTGATATTGCCAGCACCAAAATCTGTGCCATACGATGCCAGAAAGAGAAACTCCTGGGGAGACGCTAAGGAACTTGGCAAGGAAGTAGACTTAAAATATGTAATTCCTAGGAAAGCATTTCTTCTCTTACATTTCAAAGGAGAAATACATATGCATCCAGAAAATATTGTTTGTACACTTCATGACTATGTCTGAAATCATGCTGTATGAGTGCAGCGATCCTTTACAACAGTTGTAGATTTAGCTAATTGTGGTCCCAGGTGATAGAGTATAATAATTACCAACAGAAAAAAATATTTTTAATTTCTAAGAAAGAGGTTAGATTTTTTTTTTTTCTCTGTGGGAGCATCTAGTTCCCTACCTTTTCAAACTGGATGTTTGCAAACAGTATTACCTCTGAACTTTGCCCTGGCACAGTAAAATCAATGGTTTATACCAGGAAGTTAATCTCTGTAATGAAATAGAAAGCCACTTGAACGATACAAGTTGAATTTATTACAAATTGGTAAATGGAAGGTGTAATATGAATGCTTCATAGGCCCAAGTTTTGTTTTGTTTTTTTTTAATTGAGGTACAATTGACATATAACATTATATTAGTTTCAGGTGTACAACATAATGATTTGAGGGGTGCCTGGGTGGCTCAGTTGGTTGGGCGGCTGCCTTCGGCTCAGGTCATGATCCTGGAGTCCCGGGATCGAGTCCCGCATCGGGCTCCCTGCTCGGCAGGGAGCCTGCTTCTGCCTCCGACCCTCCCCCCTCTCATGTGCTCTCTCTCTCATTCTCTCTCTCAAATAAATAAATAAATAAATAAAATCTTAAAAAAAAAACCATAATGATTTGATATTTGTATACATTGGGGAATGACCACCACAGTAAGTCTAGTTACCATCAATTTCCATACAAAGTTACAAAATTGTTTTCTTTTTCTTTTTTTTCTTGGGATGAGAACTTTTAAGATTTATTCTCTTATCAACTTTCAACTATGCACTATAGTATTATTCATGCTATGCATTACATCCCCATGACTTATTTACTTTATAACTGGAAGTTTGTACCTCTTGATCTTCACCTTTTCCAGCCAGTCCTCCAACCCCTTCCCCTCCGGCAACCACCATTCTGTTCTCTGTATCTGAGTTTTGTTTTGTTTGTTCATTGTTTTGTTTTTTAGATTCCATATATAAGTGAAATCGTAATGTATTTGCCTTTCTCTGACTTACTTCACTTAGCATGATACCCTCTAGGTCCATCCATCTTGTCAAAAATGGCAAGATTTCATTCTTTTTTTTATGGTGAAGTAATATTCCTTGGTGTGTGTTTGTGTGTGTGTGATATACACTTAAACTGCTTCCACATCTTGGCTATTATAAATAATGTTGAATGCAGTAACCATAGGGGATGCACATAACTTTTTGAATAGTGCTTTTGTTTTCTTCAGATAAATACCCAGAAGTATTGCTGGATCATATGTTTGTTCTATCTTTAATTTTTTGAGGAACCTCCACACTGTTTTCTACAGTGGCTGCACCAATTTACATTCCCACCGACAGTGCATGAGGGTTCCCCTTTCTCCACATCCTCACCAAGCACTAATTTCTTCTCTTTTGGAAATAGCCATCCTAAAAGGTATGAAGTGATATCTCATTGTGGTTTTGATTTACATTTCCCTGAGATTGGTAATGTTGAGCATCTTTTCATGTACCTGTTGGCCATCTGTGTGTCTTCTTTGGGAATATGTCTTTGCAGATCCTCTGCCAATTTTTAAATCAAATTAGGTGGTTTTTTTTGTTGTTGTTGTTTCATTTGTTTTGGTTTGCTCTTGAGTTGTATAAGTTCCTTATATAGTGTAGATATTAACCCTTTATTGGACATATGCTTGCAAATACTTTCTCCCATTCAGAAGGTTGCCTTTTCATTTTGTTGATGGTTCCCTTCTCTGTGTAGAAGCTTTTCAGTTTGAAGCAGCTCCATTTGCTTATTTTTTGCTTTTGCTGCCTTGGCTTTTGGAGACAGATCCAAGAAATCATTACCAAGACCTATGTGAAGCAACTTATACTGCCTGTGTTTTCTTCTAGGAGTTTTATGGTTTTAGGTCTTACATTCAAGTCTTTAGTCCATTTTGAGTTAATTTTTGTGTATGGTGGACATGAGTAGTCTAATTTCCTTTTTTTGCATGTGACTGTCCAGTTTTCCCAACACCATTTATTGAAGAGACAGTCCTTTCTTCATTGCGTATTCTTGTATGGGTTTATTTCTGGGCTCTCTATTCTGTTCCATTGACCTATTTATCTGTTTTTATGCCAATATCCTACTGTTTTGATTACTATAGCTTTCTAATATAGTTTGAAATCAGGGAGTGTGGTGCCTGCAGGTTTGTTCTTCTTTCTCAAGATTGGCTTGGCTATTTGGGGTCCTTTGTGGTTCTATACAAAATTTAGGATTGTTCTATTTCTGTGAAGAATTCCACTGGAATTTTGATGAGATTACATTGAATCTGTAACAGCTTTGGGTAGTATGGACACTTGAACAGTGTTAATTCTTCTAATCCATGAGCATGGAATATTTTTCCATTTATTTGTGTCTCTGTCAATTTCTTTCATCAATGTCTCAGAATTTTTCAGTGTACAGGACTTTCACTTCCTTGATGAAATTTCTTCCTAGGTATTTTATTCTTTTTTAATAAGATTATGAATGGGATTATTTTCTTAATTTCTTTTGCTGAGAGTTCATATTATTGTATAAGAATGCAATAGCTTTTTGTATATTGATTTTTTATCCTGAAACTTTACTGAATTTGCTTATTAGTTCTAATAGTTTGTTGGTGGAGTCTTTAGGGTTTTCTCTATATAAAATTGTGTTGTCTACAAATGGTGACAGTTTGACTTCTTCCTTTCCAATTTGGATGCCTTTTCTTTCTTTTTCTTGCCTAATTTCTCTGGCTAGGACTTCCAATACTATTTTGAATAAAAGTGATGACTTTCTATAGTATTATTCCTTTCTCATTATCTTTTGTGTATCTACTCTAGGTTTTTGCTTTGGGGTTACCATGAGGCTCACATATATCAACCTATATGTATTATAGTCTATTTTATATTGATAGCAAGTTAAGTTTATATGCATTCTAAAACTCTACATTTTTACTACCTTCCCCTCCACATTTTATGTTTTTGATATCACATTTTATATCTTTTTATTTTGTGTATCCCTTAATTATTGTGGTAATAGTTATTTTTACTACTTTTGTCTTTTAACCTTCATACTAGCTTTATAAGTGACTAATCCATTACCCATACCAGTGAGATTTATACTTTCACAAGTGTTTTTGTAATTAGTGCCTTTTCTTTTCAGGTTAAAGGAGTCCCTTTGACATTTCTTGTAAGGCTGGTTTGGTGGTGATGAAGCCCTTTAGGTTTTGCTTGTCTGGAAAACTTATCTCTCTTTCAATTCTGAATGTAACCTTGCCAGGTAAGTATTCTTGGTAAGAAATTTTTTCCCTTCAGAACTTTGAATATGTCATACCACTCTCTTCTGACTTGAAAAATTTCTGCTGAGAAATTGGCTGATAGGTTGATGGGGGTTCTCTATACATCACAAGTTTTTTTTTTCTCTTGCAAGCTTTTAAGATTCTCTCCTTATTTTTTATGTCTGACATCTTAATTATAATGTGTCATGGGTGGATATCTTTGGGTTCATCTTATTTAGAATTCAATGGGTTCCTGGATATGGATGTCTATTTCCAAGGGTAGGCAAGTTTTCAGCCATTATTTCTTCAAATAAGTTTTCTGCTCCTTTCTTTCTCTCTTCTACTTCTGGGACTCCTATAATGTGAATGTTATTCCTTTTGATATTGTCCCATAGGTCCCTTAAACTATCTTCACTTGTTAAACATTCTTTTTTCTTTTTGCTGTTCTATTTGGGAAGACTGCCCTGTCTTCTAGATCACTGATCCTTTCTTCTGCTTCATCTAGTCTGTTGTTGAACGTTTCTAGTGTATTTTCAGTTCAGTTATTGTATTTTTCGGCTCTGTGACTTCTCTTTGATACTTTCTTATATATTTTCTATTGCTCTGTTGAAGTTATCACCATGTTCATCCATTCTTCTCTTAAGTTCGGTGACATCTTTATGACCATTGTTTTGAATTCTATCACATAAATTACTTACGTCCATTTCATTAAGGTTTTCTTCCTGAGATTTTATCTCATTCTTTCTTTTCTTTTTTTTTTCTGTGTGGGTGCAAAGTGCTGTGTTTTTATTCTTGCCAATCAATAACCAAAATTCAGTCTCCACACACATTCCCAAGAAACGAAATCTCTCTGGTCTTTGGGGAGGTTAATGTTGGAAACAGCAGGATCTCCAAGGAGAAACTTATCTTTCTCCAGCTGAGGTATGCATTTTTCTGATGGACAACCAATAAGTTCCTTCCGATGTTCTCCCAACCCTTTTTCTTTTTTTTTTTATTATTATGTTATGTTAATCACCATACATTACATCATTAGTTTTTGATGTAGGGTTCCATGATTCATTATTTGCGTATAACACCCAGTGCTCCATGCAGAACATGCCCTCTTTAATACCTATCACCAGGCTAACCCATTCCCCCACCCCTCTCCCCTCTAGAACCCTCAGTTTGTTTTTCAGAGTCCATCATCTCTCATGGTTCATCTATCTCATTCTTTCACTTGGAATATATTCTTCTGTTTCCTCATTTTGCTGGACTCTTTGTGTTTGTTTCTATGTATTAAGTGAAAAAGTTACTTCTCCCAGTAATGAAGGAGTTGGCTTTGTGTAGGAGATGAAACTTATCATTCAACTTTGCTCTAGCTCTTGGTTGTCTCTCAAACCTTTGTGATTGTCAGCCGGATTTATTCTTGATAGGTCTCAGTTGTTGACAGTTTCAATGTTCCAAAAGAAAGAATCTCAGCACCTAGTTTCAGGCTGATTGGAAGCCAGACCCTCAGGCAGCTGCTTTTAAAGTATGCTGTCACAAACCCTGCTGGCCTCCAGACCAGGCAATCTGGAGGTTTCTTTTGGGTGACAGTTGCAGTAATTGGAGCTCTAGATGAGTGGATAAACTCCTTTTTGAAAGGCACCAGAGATGGGGCACCTGGGTGGCTCAGTCGTTAAGTGTCTGCCTTCGGCTCAGGTCATGATCCTAGGGCTCTCTGCTCGGTGGGAAGCCTGCTTCTCCCTCTCCCACTCCTGCTCCCCTTGCTTGTGTTCCCTCTCTCACTGTGTCTCTCTCTGTCAAATAAATAAATAAAATCTTTAAAAAAAAAAAAGGCAACAGAGTGTCATGAGGCTGAGGAAGAGCACAAAGATGGTATCCCATGGCCTACTTTCCCTGACAGCACCTCTGTAGCTTCTAGATGTGTAACAAACTTGAAGACTGCCCTTTAGGCTGAAGCTCCAGGAAAAGTAAATTCACTTTTTTTTATAGCAAAACTGGGGGTGTGTTTCAGTTCGCTGTCTGTGCAGTGCCCTGGGGTGGTAGCCTGCCAAGAACTGTCTTTCCAATTGTTATAGTCACATGGGACCCAGGAATGCAAGAGCTCCTGGCCACCAGAGCCAGGTGATAAAGGAGTGTCCCCTATGTGGACTCTGCACGCCTGCTGGCTTTAGCAGGGCCAAGCAAGTGGAGGCCAGAGTGCACCAACAGCTTTAGCAAGACACTGGGAGAGTGCAGAGCTGGGGCATGCTCACTGGCTTTAGCAGGGCAGTGAGAGTCCAGGGACTGTGCATGACCTCCAGGGCCAGCAAGTAGAGGGAGAATGCAAAAATGGTGCTTGCCAGTGCCTCCATCCCTGGAGAGAGTCTCAGTAGGCCCCCTGCTCCTTTAGCAGATGCTTAAAATTAGCAATTGAATCTCCCTCACATATAGTCTAGCACCATTGCTTTTGTGCTGGGCCCTTGGGCAAGTGAGTTTGTGTGTGAGTCCTTTCAGAACAGCATCGTAGTTCCCTACAGCCCTTTGGTTTTCAAAGACAAACATTTTGGGGTCTTGTCTCTCTGATGCAAGTTCCAGGTGTTGGGGTACCTAAGGCACAAACCTCTTGCTCCTCAGGGAGAAGCCCTGGATTTATGAGATACATCCTGATTGTGGGTTGTGGTGCCAGAGGTCGAGTTTTTGGTGAGATCACATCTCTGCCTCTCCTACCTGTCTCCATGTGGTCCTTCTATCATTTGTTCTGACAGCACTACTCAGCTAGTTTTCAGGTCTTTTTTCAATTGCTCCACATGTAGATGTAGGTTTGGTATGTTCATGTGAGGAGTTAAGTTCAGGATCTTCCTATGCTGCCATCTTGGACCCCCTCAAGTTTGTGTTAAACTTTGAAGAAACGAATAGAATCATATAATTTAATAACTGGACTTGACTTCTTAAGACCCTTATTTTGAATGCTTACATTTGGAGAAAAATGACTTCATTTGAGTATTTTTTTTTTTTTTTAATGAAAGAAACCAGTCTAAGAGATAGTGGGTTAAACCCAATCTGCTTTAAGGTAGTTGTTTCCTTATGGCAGCTAAAAATCTCTATTTGAAGCTGGAATGGCCATCTGTCCCCACCTGTTGTAAACAGATTCCATCTCTAGATGGACAGCATTCACTGTTTCATAATCCATACCAACATTTTGGGACCTTAATATTAATAAAAATTTCTCTTGTTAAATGCTTGCCATTTAAAAACAACTAGTAGAAGTAAAAATGGTGGTTTTTCTAAACAAAAGAGCCAGACATATGTCAAATTAGCTCCTGCCAATGTAGCATGGCCAAGAAGTGGTATGTGTGGTTATTCAGATACTCAATTAACAATGCTATATACACATGGTCAAGTTTTAAAGAACTGGATTATATAATGATGTATTTAACCCCAAAATAGAGTAAACACTTAACATTAAAAGAAAGATTCTGATGGGATTTCAACACTTCAAAATCATTTCTATAAATTTTAACTATCATTGCTTTTTAGATGTATGGAAGTATGAATGAGGTATGTATGAAAGTTAGGAATAGTTGGAATGCTAGATGGCTGGATAATATCAAGTTAATGGGAGTTGTGTTTTCTGTTACAATGTACATTTTCTCTTTATATAGTGTTTCAGGCTGACCCAAAGGCTAGTAACCAAGGACTAGGAACAATTAAGAATGAAACATAAATAGTAGCAAAATCTCCTATCACATTAAGGCAGGAATTCTCCAAAATTACAAAAATGAATAGCCCCATTCAAACCAGCAATAATGTCTTCAAACACAGGCTAAAAATATTAAGTAAAGATCAATTATATGTGAGAGTCTACAGTTTTGCACTTTTTATCCTGCTTGGAATTCATAGGGCTTCTTGAATTTGTGCCTTTATATCTTTCATTGGTTTTGGAAGACTTACAGTTGTTATCCCTTCAAATACTGCTTCTGTCTTAATCTCTCTCTTCTGTTCTCTGAAAATTCAATTACATATTGTGTCCATACCCCCTTTTCTGCATTTTCCATCCTTTTGTCTCGATGCGTTCTATTCTGTTTACCAATTCCCTTTTCTTATTTATTAATTCTGCTGTGCCTACTCATGGTACCCAGCTGTCAAGTACTCCCCCCACTTCCCCACCAATAATTCTCACCACCTAGTGTTCATATCCTTAGGTAGTTTACTCTCACATTAGATCAGGGCTGATCCATATGATCAATAGAGTATGGTAGTAGTGGTGTGTGGTGACTCTTGAGGCTAGGTCATCAGAAGCATTGCAGCTTCTGCCTTGTTCTCCTGGATTTTAGTTCTGAGGAAAACCAGCCATCATGTCATGAGCACATTCACACAGCTCCCTGGAGAAGCCCATATTGAAAGGAATCAAATTCCCATCCAAATGAATAAGTCCCATTCAGATGGCACCAGTCCCACTTATGTCTTTAGATGCCTGCCCCCAGCCAGCATCTGATGGCAAACTCCTGACAGACCTCAAGCAAGAACCAGCCAAATTAGCTACTCCTATATTCCTGACTCCTAGGAATTATAAAAAAGATTAAATAATTATTGCTGCTTTAAGTCATTAAGTTTCAGGATGATTTGTTACATAGCAATAAATAGCTAATTCACCCATCTGTAAAGTTTTTAATTTCAGTTCTTGGATTTTTCAGTTGGTTCATTTTTATAGTTTCCACTTCTCTTCTAAAATTTCCAGCCTTTTAAAAAAATTTCATTGAACATGTTAAAAATACTGTTTATATAAAACCTGAAAGATTCCACCAAAAAACTGCTAGAATAGATAAATAATTCAGTAAAGTCACAGGATACAAAATCAATGTACAGAAATCTGTTGCATTTATATACACCAATAATAAAGCAGCAGAAAGAGAAATCAGGGAATCAATCCCATTTATAATTGCACCAAAAATAATAAGATACCTAAGAATAAACCTAACCAAAGAGGTGAAAGACCTGTACTCTCAAAACTATAAAACACTGATGACAGACACTGAAG